CTGACCTCGGGGGTGGAGGGAGACTGAGAAAGTTGGATTCAATAATGTATACTGCATTGAAACAGATGAGGAAGAAAACTGTTTAAAAGGGATCTGTGATTAGGTATTTTTGTCATGACGGGGGTACAGAGTGAAGGCTGCATAGTGAAGTAGACCCGGGGGGAGGGATTGTAAAACAATGAAAGAATTTTTCTTTTACTTTTCCAAGAAGGTAGTGTACTAAGGGCAGGTGGGGGGTTGGGAGGGGAGAAGAGTGCAATAATCAATGAACGGAAATCCAAAGTCTCTGTAAATTTTCACGGAAATTAATAATAAATTTTAAAAAAATAATAAAAAAGTCAAAATTGGTCATGGAATCCATGAAACTACTATAATAAATATAGAAAAATAATGAGTAACAAGGTGCCTGGGTGCTATAAGAAGTTTATTGTTAGCCGACAAAGCATAAGCTTGGCAGTTTGGCCCCGCCCAGCTGCACCAAAAAAGAAATATCTGGCAATCTTCTTCCATAAAGACTAGAGGAAAAACACCCAAGAGAGTCGTTCTGTTTTGTAACATATGAGGTTGCCATGAATTGACTGCTGTGATTAGGTGCTATCACGTAGACTATAAGACTCATAGTAACCCTATGAACAATAAATCAAAACCTTGCCTTATCCTGTACCATTCTTACAATCTTCACTATGCTTAAACCAGCATTGAGGTCTAATTTAGTGTTTATCTTTGCACATTTTTTTCTGCTTTGCAGTTACAGAGTGCACCTCCTTCCTTTGGAATAGACAGCAGACTAAAGCCTAGCAGAGAATCCAGAACTGTGTTTACAGATTTCTGTACTAGTGGAGACATAATTGGAGAGTTGAACTGCCTGCTCAAGCATGAAAATGAATATACTGCCATCTGTGAAACGACGTTACAGGTAGGAAAATCTTTCTCGGTGTTGTTATTAGTTAATTCTTTAAGTCAATAAGGAACATGAGCGTCTTTTCTTCCTTTTGTTTCTTTTATTGTATTTAGTCATCCAATTCGTTACAGAGAGACAATGTGATCTAGGTGAGAAAATGTGGTCTGATATCTAACATCTCTTCTCTACTATGCCCTCCTGTGAGGCCTGCGAAGTTATTTCACCTCCTGAGTCTTCACTCACTCACTCACTCACTCACTCACTCACTCAGTCACTTTCTTTGCTGTCAAGTTAGAACAGAATCAGAGCTGCCATGCCAGTGGGCTTCTGAGGCTATAATTTGCATGGAGATTGAGCATTTTTCTCCCTTGGAGTTATTGGCAGATTCAAACTGCCAGAGATGTATAGACTTTGAGTCAGAAACTTAACTTTCTGTGGTCTAGGCTTCCAGAGTAGAAGTCCCTTTCTCGAGTCTTAGAATCTGCTTTCATTACACAGAGAAAATGCTTTTCTTTCAATACAATGAAGAGTGGAGAAAAAAAAGTCTTTGTGAGGCACCTGGCCCGTTGTCATGTTACTATTGTTTAGATTTTGTCAATTTGTTCTGACACACAATGGAACCATGCACAATATAAAACAATGTTATGTCCTATGCCATTCGTTGCTATGTTTGAGCCCATTGATGTGGTCAACATGTCAGTATATCCCATTAAAGGTTTTTCTCTTTATCACTCCCCTTCTGCTTTATCAAACATCAGTCTTTCTCCAGGGACTAGAGAAAGCATGTCCAAAGTACATGAGGTGGAATGTCATTATTTTTATTTCTAAAGAACATTATACCTATTTTTCCAAGACAAAGATTTTCATTCTTCTGATTGTTGTTGTTATATACCATTGAGTCAACTGAAACTCATATTGACCCTATGAAAAAGAATAGCTCTGAACCCTGCCACTGGTTGTATAATTTCATTGCTGTCATACTTGCTGCTCCCCTGGCACCTTGTCATTTCAGGCCTGCTTCATTTCGCTAGAGGATTTGTATGAAGGCTTTGATGTCTTCTGGCCATCCCTAGAATACAAAATATGGCTGAAGCTTGCTCTCAAGACCGCTTCTCAGTATTTTGAATCGAGTCTCACTAGTGAGGTAAAATTACATGATCAAAATATGAATAATCTTTTATTTCCTGAACATTTTATGAAATGTGTTTTATTTTTCCCAAAGACAGAAAGGAAGGTTGTGTCCAGTCTTCAAAATAAACAAGCACCACCCCTCTCCTCAAAAAAACCCAAACAAGCATGAGGTTTCAAGAAAATGAATCACTTCTTTATCTTGACTTTCTGCAGGTTCTTCCCAGACCATTTACAATTACCCTTTAAAAAAATTAGATTTAACAGTTGTTAAGTAGATAGATTCCCAAGATCCAAGCATAACATTAAGGTCCATAGAGTTTTCAAAGCTGTGACCTTTCAGAAGTAGATCTCCAGGTCTTTTTCTTTTTTCCTTTTTTCTTTGCAAAATCTTCAAGTCTGCTCAATAACTAGCACCATTTAAAATCCCATATTTGTATCCTATTTAATAATCATTTGATATCCTACTCTAAATCAGCAGCTAGGGGAGTAAGGACCTGAGGTTTTATAATACTCATTGAATTCACAGACCAGATATACATGTTGAGTTTCCAAATTGGCATGTTATATTAAACCAACCCTGTTTCTTTTACTATGTGGTTCTAGTAATTTTCAAGAAAAAAAATTATGAGAGGTTAGGAACACTTAGAGTCTTTTCTTCCCCTCCCTCCCCTTTTCTTTATGAGAAGTAAGAGCCCTGGTGTGCATTGTGTAATAAATAGGGCTGCTATCCAAACACTTGCCAGTTCTAATCCACTAATTTCTCTGCAGAAGGAAGATGAGCAGTCTTCTCCCATAAAGATTGACAGCTTTCAGATACCTGTTGGAGGGTAGTTATGAGTTGGATCTGACATGATAGTGGAGAGGTAATGAGAAGCAGGACAGGCTTTGCATCTAGTATGAAACCCTAGAAGAGAGAATTAGCACCAATAGATTGAAACTGTAAGGAATGAGATTTGATTCACTATTAAGGTGAACATTTACATTTTTAAAAATTTAAATTCATTATCATGAAATCATAATTCTGTAAATTAGATAATACAAGAACCTCTCCCCAAATTCCCTAATGATTGGTATCTTCTAATTTTTATAGTTTGGTATCTTCTGATTAAAGAACTCACTGTCATCAATTCATTGAAGTCAAGTCCCAGTTGACACATAGCTGACCTTCTTTTTGGTTTCTGAAGCGAGTTTTCTCCCACTGAGCCATTTATATATACAAACCATCAGAGAGACATGGCCTTTGGGTTAGCAGTGCAACTCCCTATGGGACTAGGGCACCAGATCCCCATTGAAGGACTCAGCTCATTACTATTGAGTTAGAGCTGACACTTAGCTGATGATCCATTGGGTTTCCGAAGTTGTACACCATGGCCAGAGATTGTCCAGTTTTCTCTTCTTTGGATTTCTCACCCGTGTCACAGTTTCTGGTGCATTTGAACAACCAGAGATACTAGGCCTTTGAAGAATGGTGCAACTACCTGTGGAGTAGCTGCCAGCACTTCCAGGGCTCAGTCAAGCCTTTTTTGAATCCCTAAAGGTATGAAAACCACTGTCAGTGAGTCAATTCTAACTCAAAGTGACCCTTTTAGGACAGAGTAGAGATGTCCCATAAAGCTGTTTTTATCGGAGCAGACAGCTTCTTCATTTTCCAGAGGAGAAGCTTGGTAAACTCAAACTGTCAGGTTTTCCATATAAGTAGCTTTAACCCTGTGCCACTAGAAACATTATGGTGCCTTCACATCCTTAACTCTAGAGTACGAGACATACCTGCATTTAAAAACCAAAAGATTTTCTTCTAAAGATTTTTGAATTCTGGTAGCAGAGTTCTAAATAAGTTTGTGGATTTTTCTAAAGTTTTTGTTAGGCCTAAGTGATGCCCTACATACACAGGCATCAGAAAGTTGTACAATGACTAGGGAGGATAGAAGGAGAATTGATTCCTTTGAGCTGTGGTACAGAAGAAGAGTATTGAATGTACCATGGACTGCTAAGAAAACAAACAGATTTATCCTGGAGAGGGTTAAACCCAGCAGTTCCTTGGAGGCAAGGTTTCTGAGGCTTTGTCTGACATACTTTGGACATGTTGTAAGGAGGGACCGTCCGGTCCTTAGAGAGGGACATCATGCTTGGAAGGGTGGAGGGACAGTGCAGGAAGGGAAGACCCTCTATGAGGTGGATTGATTCAGTGACTGGGGTAATCGGGATGGGTGTGTCAGAGACAGTGCTATTGGCACAGGACAGAGCAGAGTTTAGGGCTGTTGTACATAGGGTCACTATGAGTTGCAAGCAACTCGACAGCACATAACAACAACAACAAGCGATGCCCTGGCAAGTGTTTTGGAGGTTAAGGATGGAAGACAGGGAGCTGGGCCTTGTAGCTGTGAATGTCTTGTTGATTGAAGATATTCAGGCTGGGCTGGAAACTCTGGGCAGGACACTGCCCAGCAGATTTCTTCCATTAGACTCAACTACAACTTAAAATTCTATGGTTTTGAGTTTTTAATTAGACTTGCCTCATTTTGGCTTTTTCTTATTGTTTACTCACTGACCAAATGGGACCTTTGCTTACTGTTTGATAAAACATAGATAGGAATGCTTTAAGACTATTGTTTCTGTACAACTAGAAATCCATGAGACAGAGCCCACCTACAAACTGTGGCTAGCTGAGACCTTGTACAATGCAGGACTTGGCAAACACATTTGAGAACATTGAGGAATGCTAATGTTGTTGTTTTTAGGTGCCATGACATTAACTCTTACTCATAGCGACTCTATGTACAACCTTGTGCCTGATCCTGTGCCATCCTCACAATCTCCAGTGTGCCAGCATAAAAACCTTTCAATTCAGCATCTTATCTGACATAGTTCTGAAGTCTAAATAGAATCGTCCCGTAAGATCCAAGGGTCACTTGCTTTCTGACACCCTTAAAGAGTTCAGAGTTAAGTGAATTTGCTTTCTTCTTGATATACCATGTGGTAACTTGTATGATTTACAGAGGGAAAATTACATTTAATTGCAGGACTTAACATTTCAGAAGTGTGTGGAGGACAACCACGCCTATGTGGAGACTTTATCAAGCTATAATGAAATCGTTATTGATGGTGCAACTATGAAATTCGTTATTGTTGTGTATGGCAGTGTCATTGATATGAAGACAGACAAATCCTATTTTGCACCGTCCATCATACCTACAACCTGTGAACAGGTAAAGGGGACCATTCCTAATGAGTTATTTGCCCTTCAAGCTGCCTTTTGTTGTCAGTGGCTGTTGAGTCCATTTCGACTTAACATTTTGCAGATTAGAGCTGCACGATCAGGCTTCCAAAGCCACGACCTCTCAGAAGCACATCACTGGGTCTGTCTCCTGTGGTGCCTCTTGGGAGGGATCAAACTGCAAACCTTTCTTTCGGTTAGAGGTCAGAGACGTAACCATGTGCCCAACTCAGGGATTTTTGTTCAAGTCCTCCTGACTGGTATTGAAGGAGGCCTGGTGACACAGTGCATTGAATGACTGTGAATCCAAAAGTAAAAATTCAAATTGACCAGAGGCTTCTTAGGACAAAGATGAGCAGTTTCCTTCAAGAAAGTTTTATGGCCATGCAATGGAGGCTCACTTTGACTCAGAATCAACTTGATAGCAGTGAGAGAGTAGGAGTGGTGTTGACGCTCAGATGAGTACCATAAAAAGAAATTGGCCTGGAGAGACCTGTGGTCTTCAGTGCCTTTAACAGAATAAAGATGTACCCAGGGATTCTGTGCACTGTGGTGCTGGCTGTACCTACTTAAGGGACCACTGAGGGGCAAGTGGTACTAGAACTGTCTGCTTTCTGTTTGCCAACTATTTACCTTTTCATGGAGCTGTGACATTGTAGAGGAAAGAGGTGCTGTGTTTTACTCAACTCACACCAAAGCAACTGTGCCATATGCTAGCATGTTCTAGGAAGTATCTGCTTTAGTCATTAAAATACAAAACCAAACAAAATTCACTATCTTGAACTTGATTCCAACTCACAGTGATCCTCCTTTGGGTTTCTGAGGCTGTAAATATTGCCTAGAGGAGACTGTCTTTCTTGCACAGAAAAGCTGGTGGGTTCGAACTGCTGGCCTTTTGGTTAGCAGCCCAACACATAACCTACTATGCCATCAGGGTATATTTAGTCATTAAGAAGAGAACTCAACAGGACCCACCATCACTTTGTCTTAGCTGAGAAGCTGCAGGCACATTTTGATATGGATCCTGTGCCTTGGGTCTGTGACCCCCGGCCTCTGTCAACTCAGGGGTGGGAAATGGAGTGAGAATGAATACAGCATAATAGGAATTGGAAGGATAGAAGCAAACTTCCCAACAAGGCACACTGTCTGCCTTTGGAGAACAAGGGTGACGGGAGGGCAGAGCCCATGAACAAGGGGTAAAAAGAAACCTGGAAAATAGCTAAGTGATAGCTTTTTAATCTTATAGTGAATTTCTCTTCTTTGGAAGATACCTTTCAGCCTGTACATGGCTCATGCTGTACAAAATCCTAACTTAATGAAAATTAATTTCTTGGAAAAGTTAGTTGATTGTGTGTACTATCGAGTCAGAACCAACACATAGCTGACCCTCCAGCAGGTTTTCAGAGGCAGTAAGTCACATGGGAGGAGATTGCCCATCCTTCTCCTGTGGAGCCCTGATGGATTTGAACCGTGTGTCTTTGTGATTGCAGCACAGCTTCTTACCACTAGGCCAACAGAGTTCCCTGGAAAAGTTGGTTCAAACTCCTTAAAATTTAATGTTCCTCTTTTTTTTTATGTGATGTTTTTATTTTTATACTGGTTTACTTGTCAAGTTTATATACATTGTTTTTCACACTGGATCTTTCCCATTCTTTAGCCCACTCCTCCCTCCACCCATCAAATTGTGTGACCCTATGATTACTTCTAGTACTCTTATTTTGTATTGGTCTGCATATCTGAGGCTAAAGGCAACAGAAATGATTCTTAGTAGAAAATGAAATTGTTTCTCTTTGAAACAGAGGTGGAGAGGTAAGAGACAAGGGTTTAGCTAACTAAAAGACTGTTGGAGTCAGGCATGCTGGATATAAAATGCAACAATTCTTTTCACTCAACCTCTGAGCACAGGCAAATGGGTCAAACTTTCCAACCTTCAGTTTCCTATTTGTAAAATGGAGATAAAAGGGAAGTAGTTTCTTCAGGTTCTTGTGAACATCAAGTGAGATAATATGTGTTATCTAAAATGGAAGCAAGAGTGGCATCCACTTCCTAAACAACATGCCTCTGAAAACTCTATGAACTTTGATAAATGTCTATAGTTGCAGACGGGCTTCAGACCTTTTGTTTGCTATAAGTTGTGCTCAACTCAAAAGTAATCAACAACAAAAAAATACTGATAGTTATGGTATTTTTTTTATGCTCCTTGTACCCTGGGAGGTCTGATTTTGTGGCACACAGGGCAAAATCTCAAAGAAAAGTAGACAACTACACTGTTCTGGGAAGGCCTGGACCCAGCTCTGCAAAGTTAACATAGGAGTAAGAGCTTAAGCACCCAATTGCACCTATCATTATGTCGTGCATTTATGTACATGAATTATAATCAACAAATAAAAACTCCTGGGAGTCTATGTTTTCAGAATTACAATTTCCAGTCTAGTCGCAAGTATTGTTGGGGGCTGTGAAGTCTGCTCTGACTCATAGCAATCTTACGCCCAGTGGAACGCAGCGTCCATTGCCTGGCCCTGCAGCATCCTTACAGTCATAACTGTGTTTGAGCCCACTGCTATGGCCACTATGTCAGTCCATCTCCAAATTTCCCTTCCTGTACCTATAAGTATGCAAAAGGAAATTCACTGGTCTGAGAGTTCATGGAACAATGTAAAAGAATCAAAACAAAAAGAAAATAGATCTGAGGTTAGAGGCACATTCAGAGTTTTGCCTAGCTCTTCAATACTCTTTAGAAAAGTTAGAGATCTGAGAATTCACTTCTGACTAATATTTACTTTTCCCCTTTAGCTTCAGGGCACTTCAGATTTAAGCAAGTTGCTAATTATCCTAGCATCTGAGCCTGCCAAAAGTATTAATAATACCACCACAGTCACAGGTAAGAGATAATTCTTTGGTAGTTGGAAAATAGTTGAGAAGGAACTTTGATATATGTGACATGCATTTAACTGTAAATGATTGATTTTTAAATTCAAGTGTAATTGACTCAAGATCATATTTTGGATTTTGAGAGCAACAATATATAGGTCTATTATTTGTCAACCTCATTAAGTGTTAAGGAAATAAGCTTTCAAAAGAGACCCCATTTTTTTTCTTTTTCACTTACCCTGGAAGGTATGCTGCTTTTGGAAGGTCCCATATTAGAGATTTCCAGTTCCTTCATCTCCTATGTTCTTTCCTCTACATATTGACTAGAGAGCACTATTTCTATGCCCAACCAGTCCAAGTGCTATCTATGGAGTATACCATCATTACTCTTGTGCAAGTTCAAATTGGCTGAAGAAAATGAAAACAAGTCTACAAAAACCAAAATATGATCTTGAGTCTATTGCACTTGAATTTAAAAATCATCTTAAGAATAGGTTTGACAGCCACCGCTGCTGCCGTGACACGGTCTGCGTGCCAGCACCACCCTCCCGACAGTTCTGCCACAAAGGAGGGCATGAACGAGTACAGCAATATACAAGAGTTCGCAGAGGGATCCAAGATGACTGTAAAATGTGTATTGGAGGCTTGAGCTGGGATACAAGCAAGAAAGATCTGACTGAGTATTTGTCTCGGTTTGGAGAGATGGTAGACTGCACGATTAAAACAGATCTAGTCACTGGATGGTCAAAAGGGTTTGAATTTGTACTTTTCTTTTGCACTTTTTTTTGCTGCTAGTGTTGATAAGGTTTTGTAACTGAAAGAACATAAACTGGATGGCAAATTGATAGATCCCAAAAGAGCTAAAGCTTTAAAAGGGAAGGAACCCCCCAAAAAGGTTTTTGTAGGTGGATTAAGCCCAGATACTTCTGAAGAGCAAATTAAAGAATATTTTGGCGCTTTTGGAGAGATTGAAAATATTGAACTTCCCATGGATATAAAAGCCAATGAAAAGAGGATTTTGTTTTATCACATGCACACATGAAGAGCCAGTAAAGAAATTGTTAGATATCATCAAATTGGTTCTGGGAAGTGTGAAATCAAAGCTGCACAACCCAAAGAGGTATATAGGCAGCAACAACAACAACAGAAAGGAGGAAGAGGTGCTGCAGCTGGTGGTAGTAGGGGTCATGGACGAGGTCTACTGAGCACATATGGCAAGGCATCTCGAGGAGGTGGCAATCACCTAAACAATTACCAGCAGTACTAAAGAAGGTCACTGACAAAAAAACAGGAGGAGATGCTAAAGTAACCCATCATGCAGAACAACGTTGAAGATTGATCTTCTGTTGATCTCAGATGATTATTTTGTAAAAGATTTTCTAGTGAACAAGACACAATTGTGTCCAACTCTACATAGCTGCCAACTCGTTATCTTTGTTTTTACTTTGTCCTTTGCTGTGTTTTTACTAGATGTGGATTTGTGTTTATACAAATTTTATTTGTATGATTTCATGTTAAACCTCCAATACATGCTTCCTTATGTGATTGTTAGAAAAAAAAGTTTGAAGTATTGAACATCAATGATGGAAGATCAAATGAGTTGTGAAATGACATAAAGGATATCATCTATGATGAGAGCAAAAGACAGAAGAGGAAATAAAAACCAAAATGGATGTCAGAAAGGACCCTAAAAATTGCACTAGAGCAGTGAGAAGCCAAAACAAAGGGAAGAGCTAAGAGCTGTTGAAGTAAAAGAGCTAAAAATTTCAAAGGACAGTTTGAGAAGACAGAACAAAGTACTATAATGGAATATGCAGAGACCTAGAGTTGGAGACTAAAAAGGGAACAACTCACTTAGCATTTATCAAACTGAAAAACAAATTCAAGCTTCAGGTTGCTATATTTAGAGATTTTATGGACAAAATCTTGAATGATCCAGAAAACATCAGAAGAGGACAGAGGAATGCACAGTATCAATCACTGTACCAAAAAGAATTGATACTGAAATATTTCAGGAAGTATGATCAAGAGACAATGGTAAAGAAGAAAGAAGTTCAAGCTGCAATGAAGGTATTGGTAGAAAAATAAGTTCCCAGCAATCAGTGGGAAATAAATTGACATGTTTCAAATGACAGATGCATCCCTGGCTGTGCTCACCAGTCTATGCCAGGAAATTTGGAGGACAATTGCCTGGCTGACTGACTAGAACAAATTCATATTTCCCCCCCGCCCCATTCCCAAGAAAGGTGATACAACAGAATATGGAAATTATGAAACAATATCATTAATATCACATGCAAGCAAAATACTGCTGAACAGCATTTAAAAAAACAGCTAGAACTGCAAATAGACAGGGAACTGCCAGAAATTCAAATTGGATGTAGAAGAGGCCATGGCTCTAGGAATATTATTGCTGATGTCACATGTATTATGGCTGAAAGTAAAGAATGCCAGAAGAATGTCTAGACTATGCACAGGCATCGGACTGTGCAGATCATAAAAAAAATATAACTAACATTGAGATGAATGGAAATCCCAGAACACTTGAAACACTTTCATGTGACCAAGAAGTTATTGTGAAAACAGAGCAAGGAAACATTGTTGTTACATGCTGTTGAGTTGACTCCGACTCATAGAGACCCTATATACAAAAGTCTGAACTCTGTTCTATTTTGAGCCAATTTAAATACCTCTGACACACCTATCCCCATTTCCCAAGTCAAACCATCTTATCTAGGACCATCCTCCCTTGAGCTGTCCCTCCACTTTTTCAAACATAATGTCCCTCTCTAAGAACTGATCCCTTCTTGAAACATGCTCAGAGTGTGTGAGATGGAGCTTTGAAATCCTTGCCTCCAAGGAGCACTCTCTCCAGGACAAATTTGTTTGTTCTTTTAGCTGTCCATAGTATACTCAATACTCTTCTCCAGCACCACAGCTCAAAGACATCTATTCATCTTCTATCATCCTTAATCATTGTCCAGTTCTCTGATGCATAGTAAGTAATTGTGAAAACCATGGCCCGCATCAAGTGCACCTTATTCTCTGGACTGACATCATTGCTCTTTAGTACTCTGGAGAGGTCCCTGACAACAGATTTTCCCAATGCAATTCATCTTTTTATTTCCTAGTTACTGGTACAAAGGGTGTTGATTGTGGAGCCAAGCATGCTGAAGCTGTTAACAATGTCAATCTCTTCTCCATCTATCATAATGCTACCAGTAGGCCCAGTGGTGAGAATCTTTGTCTTCTTGATGTTGAACATAATCCATCTAGAAGGCTGCAGCCCTTGACCTTCTGCAGCAAATATCTTAGGTTCTCCTCAGTTACATCAAGCAAGGTTTTGTCATCCACACAGGGCAGACTGTTGATGAGTCTTCCTCCAGTCCTGATGCCACATTCCTCCTCATAGAGCCCAGCCTCCTGGATGATCTGTTGTTCTGTAAATAGACTGACAAGGTAGGGGATAAGATGCATCAGTGGTGTACACCTTTCCTGATTTTGAACCATGGGATGTTTCCTTGCTCTATCATGATGACTGCTTCCTGGTCCAATTATAGGTTTCACACAAGCACCATTAAGTATTCTGGGATTCCTATTCTGAAAGGGTAGCATCAGGATGGATGGCGAAGAGATTGAGATTGTTCACAGCTTCAGTTTGCTC